AGGCCTCGGGCTCCTATTTCTACCCACATCCCTGTTGGGGGAAACAGAAATGTCCCCCCTTGCGCGCGCGCGGGGGCCATCCCTTGCACGCCCTGGCGGGGAATGTGATCTGTCAGGCAGTCCCCGAGCTCTTCTGCTTCTGCTGTCAGCCCTTTCCCTATCGGGATGAATGGGATGCCTGTCTGCACGAGATGGATCGACCCTATCGGGCACATTCGGCAAAACATGATCAGTCAAACCAACACCCCCGCCCGGTCTTACCGGAAGGCCAGTACCCCGACCGTTACCTTCTCCAGGAGTGGGCGTCGGAGACCTAATCCTATGACCCTGTCCAGCGAAAGCGCTGTACCCAACATTCCGTCTTTCTCTGGGTACTTGAGGATTCTGCTGATTTTCCTGGACACCCTGAATAATGTCAGCAGCCTCATCAACATGACCTTCAATATCAGTAAGCTGAGCCATGATTCTGTTGTTCATTCCATTAAGAGTACGTATGTTACTCTCGGCAGTAGTGATTCTCCGCATTGCGCCTTCAAGCGTACTCCGAAATGAATCGAGTTCACGCCTAACGGCAGACCGCGCTTGATCACTATTCGCAGGGAGATTGCGGATCTGCCTTCTGATGTCATCAAGAACTTGATTCAGAATTCCCGAGCTCGCTTCATACTGCTCAACACGGGACTTCACGGTCTCAAATCTCGCGATGACATCGTCATGATCCCGATGTTGGCGTTGAACTCCGCGAGATAGATCCTGGACCTTTCCTGATGGTCTATCGACCGCCTGGGACCCCCTCCCACCTTGCAGCCTCGACATTCGATCAGCAAGAATGATTTGTTCTTCATTAATACCACCAATAGATTCGGAGGCCCACTTAGCAAACTTCTCGTGTTCAAGAAGAACCTTCTCGAGCTTCAGGTTTAGTTCCCTGAAATTCGCGTTCGCCCCACTGCTGGTAGCCCTATCGGGCACTTGCGCAGCGGGGCTCAAATCCCATTCACCTGCCGGCGTCCGCATCCCAACGGTTTTCTCTACCGAGAACATCCGCCCCTCGAGCTTGTCTAAGTCCTTATGGATCTCATCCTCGGAAGCAGCATGGCTCCTGCGGATGGCCTGATGATTTTCCTGAATGACCTGACGAAGCTGGCTAGTTGCGATTTCATTGTCCTTAACAGATTCATGAACCTCGTGAGAAAGCAAATTGATCCTCTGATCCACGACTTCAGCCTGTTCATCGATGGCTTGCCTCACAATGGCCCTGCTATCCGGGACGATCTCACTGGCGAACCGCTGAACTATCATTCGCATCCTACCGGCATCAGATTGAGTAGTCGCAATCTCAGTCGCCAAACGATTGACCTTGTCTTTCGTCTGCTGATTCTCGTCGCTCCACTCCTTTCGCATGGAACCCACCTCACCGTTCAGTAACCTGATTTGGTCAGCAAAGATATGGAACGCTTTTGCGACTGAACCAGACACCTCACCCCTCTCGAGCATCTCCTGGATGTGCAAATCAAACACCTCCTTTGCCCTGGCGTCACCTGACTCACCGGAAGAGTGGGACCTGTGTGCTGGAGGAGTCGATATCTCGATCCTCTCAGGAGCCCCACTAGCTTTAGCATGTCTTCTGGGGTCGCCTGCAGGACTATCACCTATCCTGGACGGCCTGCCAGGGATAGATCCCCTTCTCCGGCTATCGCCAGATCGGGGATCAATGTTGGATGCACGAGACTCGGGAGTGGAGTGGATATGAACATCAGCAGGATCGAACATTCGCAGAAGCACTACGCTCCCTGGCGGTCGATCCCCATTGAGGTGTGAACTCGTTGCTGGACCTTAGCGTTTCGATGTCACTGGGATCTCGCCCTAACGGGCTAGCGATCGACGGACGATCCTCGATTCCGAGTGCATCGGCAAGCCGACCATCTCTTGCACCTGTCCCAACGGCATCGGCAGCCCGCTCTGTGATCCTTGGCGAACCAGTAATCCGGTTCGAGTCCTCGTCTCTCTGATTCAACGGACCTCCGAATGTAATGTTGGGAAAAGGGGGAACATTCGGGGTATCACCAATCACTGGGGGACCTATCGGTCCCCCCCGGTCATGGATGGCCTCCAATCCCCTAAGAACTTCTCGGCTATCCCTGGCTCTCTCTCTCTCGCTCCGGGCGTCCCTGTCACTGGCAGCTCCACGAGAGAGGCTCCTGGGCCTCGCGGCAGCACGGATCCTAGCATTTCGGCGTGATTGGTCCTCCTCCTCATCCGCAAAGATGTAATCTTCACCATCATAAAATTCAGACTTGGCAGTATTGGGGTTGGGCCTATCGGCATCAGATCCCTGCTTTGAGCTACTGCCCCAGCCTGCGGTCGATTTCAACAGAGCATCGTATCCGAAATCTGTGAACTTCCGCTCCTCGTGCTCATCAAACTGACCTGGATTTTGAGAACCAGTGGATCGACCCGAGATACCTCTCGGAGCCAAAACCATAGTCCCTGGTCCCTGCAGCCTGTCCTCAAACTCATCCGAGACCTGCGATTCACCTGGAACAAGAGATCTCGGGGGTCGGGTCGGCATGGCCTCCGGGTCGTCCGAATGAGGGCGGGCCATGTTCATCGCCATGCTGATGAAGTCGAACTGTCCGCGCCTGTGACCTGATTCAGAGCCGCTCCTATCGGAGCGAACCCTTCGTGTCTGTTCATCATCAGTGGCCTGACGGAAAATGCGATCATCTCCATCGTCGGTGTACCTGCCACGGCTTCTGGGTGTGTCCCTACCGGGATCTTCACCCCTGCGGTCCTGACCTGCCGAACCTGCTTCGAAATCCTCATAATCGAAGTCCGGTAGGTCCTCACCTGAGCAGAGGCCCCCTAGGATGGCCTCCTCATCCACGACACTCCTGTGTGATCGTGGGGTCGACATAGAGCTTGTAGTTGATGGTCTCAAGCGCGTAGGAAAGTCCTACGGCTGATAACCTGTGATTCGGGCACGAGCCTGTGCCCAGGCAATGGGTAAGTTGGGGTAAACAAGCCACAAAAGAAAGGTTCCCCAAAAGCAAACCAATCCCCGGTCCCAAAGATCAGGGTTTCCCACACACCAGAGAACAACAACCAAAAGGGAAAAACCAAAACAAGTAAACAAGTACCCGCAACCTTGATCGACGATGAACCGCACGGGCGGACCCCACCAATCTGCCCCGGGCCGATGTCTCTTTCTCCACCGACACGAAGGTGATCGACGCGGGGACCCGGCGACGCTCATCCGAGGCGCGACGGACCCGCAAACTTGAGCCAAAACACCACAGGTCGGTCACTACCGCGACGTCCCTGATGATGATATTAACCATGGCTAATCACATTCTACCAAAACAATCAAGTACTAGGTCCTCCAGTAGTGGTATGGCCTGTTGGCTTGGCTGCTGAACGTTAGGGTACCCTTTTTTTCTGTTGTCTGCTGTGAGCCCTAACTAACAGCAACCCAACAGAGTAGAGAATAAGTTGGTACCAACTTTTTGTCTGTCTGTTTTAGTAGCAGAACCCTCCCAACCCAAAAACGGGCGAGAAAGGGCACTAGGAAGCGCCCCAAGAGCGCGTTTGGCCAAGCCGAAAGAAAGCCCCCAAAAGCGGCAAACGAAGAAGCAAAAAGTCACCCATGCCCCTTTCAAAATAGCTGGTATGATAGGCAGGGAAGCTTCGACTCGCTGGTGCTAGGCAGGGAAGCAGAGATGAGGGAATGAGGGAAACTACAATCTTCAGCCATGCTTGTTGACTCGCCCCTTGCAACTGGCTGGTGCGATAGGTTGAGGGGTGGGGTGGCTGCAAGGGGATAGGTCCTCATGGGCACATGTGAGGCTGCGCCGGAAAGGTTTCATTGGCAAGAGGGGTTCTTGCAATGGTTCTAATCTTGTTGGTGCGATAGGTAGGGAATGAGAAATGGAATGAACCGTTTTGGGATTCCCGCATAAAGGAAACTACCAGGGATGTTCTTTGTTGGGTCATTCCATGTCTCATTCCCTGAGCACCAGCAAGGCCATAAGAACCTGCGGAAAACCGCACGGCCAAATGGGCCAAATGGCCCACCCCACCATGTCCCTTAAAAGGTTCGAGATGGAAATCATATCATGTGTCAAGGGCAAACGCAGCGGTTTTTCTGAACCTAACTAGGCTCACAGCTCGGGGCAAGAACCTGAAAAACCAGTTCCTCTTACCTAGGTGTTTTCTCATGGGAGTTCTGGTCCATTTGGAAACCATGGGAAACCATTGTTTGTTGGTATTTACAGGGGAATCATCAGAAATCAGGGCTTCTTAGGCGGTGCAGGATTTCGTCCATCCACAGTAGTGAAGCTCCAATCAGGTGTCATGGTTGTGGAATCTCATTCTGGTTGCGGGATCAACATCTAACTCTTCGCCTATGTACTTCTCTGTCGGAAGCGGGATTCCATTTTGGCCACTCACAGAAAGTGGGTGTTTCCTTTTAAGGGACACCAAAATGGTGGTTTTCATGCGCTGCCCTTTAAAACCTCTCCAAAAGGGGGCCTCCAAAAAAAACAGACCCATTTAGGCTCCTTTGCGGATGGAAGGGTAACCAACGAAATCCAACCAATGGCTTTCCTTAGCTTGCTGCTGTGGAAACACGACCTGGCTGGTTTAAAGACCAGCCCAACAACAGATCAAGCCCCCGCAGTAACCTGGCTCAAATATGTTTGAGCTTCGCAACATTGTTTAGGTCCACCGCCTTCAGACATGTACACCAACACGCTCCATCAAACTTCACCCGCTGAGATTAAAACAACTCACACCGCCTAGGTCCTCGTAGAGAGCTTAGAATAAGGGTACCCGAGTTTTTCTGCTGTCTATTTCAGTAAGGGAACCCTCCCGACCAAAAAAGACCAACCAAAAAAGAAACGGTAGAGAAGGGCACCAATCGCTGTTGGGACCTGGTTTCTTGTGAGGTCTCGTGAGGTGCCGTTGGGGCTCACCCACATTTACCGAGAGCGAAGCGCGTCCTGTAGCATCAGATTGGGGTCGTAGGACACCTTGTTCACACTGAGGATCCGGTCCTTGGAAGCTCGTGCAACCGAGCGATCGACAAAGCCGAAAGGTAGTGAATCGAGCCCAGCCAGCCATTTTGGCCTTGGAGTGGCAAGGCCTGTACCACAGGGAGATGAATTCAAGCAATCTTATCATCTTATGGTTGAATAGCTCTTTGATCATCTGTTGGGACGGAGCAACCCATGTCAAATGCTTCGGAACGTCCAACATTTGCATTTATTGAGTCCTTGGTTTGAGCACCCTCTTGCTTCCCGCCTTGTCTAATTGCCGCCACAAGCACTCCTGGCAGCACAGTCTTCTCCGCAAAAGGAGTTCCTGGCAGCTGAGCCAAAACCCAAATCCAAGGGAGGAGCAGGCTGCAGGTATGCCACTGTTAAGATGCATGATTACATAGATGATTTCGTCCGCAATGTTTATCTACATATGATCCGTATGCTCTATTGTCTCAAAAAAAGGCCGCCAGTCAAACATCGTGTGTATCCAACCTTGGCAGCGACTGAGACTTTGCGCAAAGGCCGTTTCGTTAAACCAACTTGGAGCTCTTCCTTTGCCCACTAACGGTGGATTCATCCAAGTAGGGCTTCCAGCCTTCAATGATAGTCCCTTGAAGACCTAAATGGTTGATAACCAATGGAGTGTGGCAAGAGTTCAGAACATGAGAATGCCCAGCTAGGTTCTCCAGTAGAGAGGTTAGAAGAAGGGCGCCCTTTTTTCTGTAGTCTTTTTTAGTACGCGCCGGGTACATAGTCACCCGCACGTTGGCATGTCCTACCGGCCGTCCGAAAACCCCCTGAACGTTTATCACGGTTGAGGCCCCCGAACGAGCAAGAAGCGAAACTAGGTCCTCCAGTAACTCCAGTAGAGAGGTTAGAAGAAGTTGGTACCCGATGTTTTTTCTGTTGTCTATTTTAGTAGGGGAACCCTTCCCCAAAAAAGGGGTTGAGAAGGGTACTACTGGGGGACCTAGGAAAAGGAAGAGGGAAGAAGAGGGAAGACCC